AAGTACCTATGTATGTATGTTCATATTTACAAACATACATACATATGTATGCTTAATTTTTGTGTCACCCACATACTGCACATGAGTGGGAAGCGATGTTTTGTTCGTTTATAAATGTGTACATACTTATGTACTACATACATGTACATATGTATTTAGCAAGTTCAATCAGTGATCGTCGTTTAGCTAAAATACGTTTATGTGTGTTTGTATGTGGTACAGCGCTGTCACGTCGCTCATGCACATCTCTTTTGGCTTTGTGAGCTCGTGTTTGATCGGCACTGATATATAGAATTTTCGCGTAGCTATGCGCTGTATTTGGTAACCAAATAGGCTTACGTATTCGTATTTGTTGGTAACTTTACAACCAAAAAAAGGGTGCTGTTTTACAAGAATAAAACAAATAAGTATGCCGCTCGGTTTCTTTTTACAAATGCTTTGTTTAAAAAAAAAAAATATTAAAATCGGCTTAGTACTTTGATAAATTAGTCGTGACAAACAATTTCAATACAATCAATTTCATATATTAGTATAGATAATTAAATAATAATAGAATAATAGAAATTAAATAATATGAAAATAAATAGTCAAAACTTATTAATACGTGGCGGTCTTAAAATTATGCAAGTGGGTGCATTCATTTTTACTACGGGAGTATATGTATTCTGTGTAGTAAGGGTTATACCCCCTAAGCGCGGCCAAAGGCTGCCTACGCAGAGAGAAATTACGCCCTTCTTCTCCGGCAACACAAAAATAAGTTCCGCCCCTCTTCTTAGGCAACATAGAAAAGATAATTCTGCGTATCAAGGGCTATAACCTCTAAGCGCGGCCGAAGGTCGTCCGCCTGCTCCTCTCTCCGGCAACGCAGAAAGGAGAATTCTCCGTAGTAATGGTCATAATCCCCAAGCGCGTATATCAAATGAAAGGTACTTTTATGCCCTATATTAAACGTAGTTTTACATATATTTTTATTTAAAAAATTACCATGTTTTCGCTTTTTTAGTTCTTATCAAAACCTATATATATTATGTTAACATATTTAAATGTGTAATTAGCTTTCCGACGACGTCCACATTTTTAAAATCGGTTCAAGAGTTTTGGAAACGTAAGCTTTCGAAAATATTGAAAATTCCACTTTTAGACGCCTTTGGCAGGGCCCGTAGTAATTTGCCAAAAAAAAAAAAAATATCTACACCATTAGAACCAGTTGTTGCTGTTGTAGCGGCTACAACAACCCCGCCCAGATCGGTTGATATCTCAGTCGTTGTCGTCAAGTTCCACTAACGGCAGCCCTAGGAAGCGTGCAGCTTCTATCGGGCCGGTCCACAAGGACAAAGCCGTTAGGGTTGTCGGGTTTTCCGGGCATGCGAAGAGATGTTTCGAGTCATGTGGGGTCCCTCCGCATGTCGGACACTCATTGGGCGCATCCACATTCAGTCTACTCAGGTAGGAATTCAACCTGCTGCAGTAGCCAGAGCGGAGTTGGGCTATTGTCGTTCGTGTCTCCCGAGGCAGATGAAGCTCCGTCTCGTCTATGTCCGGTGGCGGTAGGCCTAGAACGGAATTCACAGGTCTAGAGTCTACATAACTCGAGACTGACNTGCCTAGAACGGCATTCACAGGTCTAGAGTCTACATAACTCGAGACTGAGTCCCTGTGAATGCCGTTCAGGGCCTGTCTGTAGGCTGTCGGGTCCAGAGGTTGCTTAATGAACCTCTGGACTTCGTCCGTCAGTTCATATAGATGCCTCCTGACGTGCCTAGGCGAGGGCTCCTCTGCAAGCAGCTGTCTGCTTGGGTGGCCACTTCTGTGGCTCCCGATCAGGAACTGCTTGCAGAGCATTATGTTGTGCTCCTTTATGGGGAGCATTTGTGCCTGGTTGTAGAGGTGATGTTCGGCCGACATGAGGAGGCATCCTGTCGCTGTCCTGAGTGCAGTGTTCTGTACAGTCTGTAGCTTCGTCCACTGCGTCCTACTAGTCTCCGGCGACCACACTGGCGCTGCGTAGTTTAAAACCGGCCGGCCTCTTGCCTTGTATGTTGCCAGCAACGTTTCTTTGTCTTTGCCCCAAGTACAGCCGGCTAGCGACTTGAGGACCTTGTTGCGGCTCTGTACTTTATTGACAATAGCGATTGCGTGCGCAGAGAAGGAGAGCAGGCTGTCGAATGTTACTCCGAGTATTTTGGGGTTATTCACCGTCGGAATTGGTGTGTCATCGACGTGAATCCCCAGCGGTAGCCTGACCTCCTTCGTCCGGGTTGTGAACAGGGTCGCAGAGGATTTCGTAGGGGAGAGGGCTAGACACTTTGCAGCGAAGAAGCGAGAAAGTTCGGAGAGATACCCGTTTACTTTAGAACACAGGTCATCAATTCCATTCCCAGTCGCCATGATCGTGCAATCGTCGGCGTAAGAGACAATCGAGACTCCTTCTGGTGGTTGAGGGAGCTTTGAGTGTAAAAGTTAAACAGTAGCGGGGAAAGGACACCACCCTGTGCAACCCCCTGTTTTATTTTTCTAAGTTTATCCGATTTGTCTCTAAACATTACCGACGAGTGTCGACCACTCAGATAATTTGCCGACCCCTATATCTGCTAGTAGCGTGGAATGGCAGACGGTGTCAAACGCCTTTGACAAGTCCAAAGCTACTAGAAACGTTCTCTCACAGGAACGGTTTTGGTTAAGGCCACGAGTTATCTGAGTGTTTACGGAAACCATGCTGATGCTTCGCTGGGGTCAAGTGGTTTGTGAAATACGGGAGTAGCAAGGCCTCGAGTGTCTTCGCTACCGGGGAAAGGAGTGTTATCGGACGATAAGAATCTCCTATGGTGGCAGGTTTCCGCGGTTTGAGCAGTGGGGCCACTCTCCCCACCTTCCAGATGTCTGGGATGATGAGAGTGGCCATGGACAAACTGAGGACCTCCGTTAGGTACGCTACCCTCGCAGGACCCAAATTTTTCAACATCAGCATGCATATTCCGTCGGGACCCATGGCTTTGGAGGCTTTCGCCTTCCCGATGGCCACCTGAACTTCACCGCAAGTGAAAGCAGGGGGACACAAGTTGTTGGCAGTTTGTGCAGCCTTCTGGTCACTCGACGCTTGGCTTTGTCCACCGGAGGATGCGGTATGAACTGCCGGCTAAAACAGCTCGCGCATCGCTCCGGGTCCGACGAAGCATGGTCGCCGAAAGAAATTTCGACCCTGTCGTCATGCTTCGTCGGCTTGGACAGTGACCTCACGGTTGACCAAAGCTTACTCACACCAGAGGTGAAGTTGCAGGTCTTCAGATGCTCTTCCCACTTCTTCCGCTTATGTACGTTTACTAGTTGCCGAATCTCCGCGTTGAGATCCCTAATACGGGGATCTGCGGGATCGGCCTGACGAAGGCTATCGCGCTCATCGGCTAGAACAGCCGCTTCGGCAGGGAAGTTTGGACGTGGGTCCGTTATACATCCTGCCGGTATGAAGCGAGCTGCAGCAGCAGTGGCAGCCCTGCGGAACTTACGTTCACCGATATGGACGTCGGTTGGTGTGGGAAGCGCAGTGAAGGTGTTTTCAGTAAACTTCGCGTAACCTTTCCAATCAGCTTTGGAGAAGTTGCTATAGGTCCGGTGTTTAGCGGTGGCAAAGTGGGTTGGTTTATCTATCGAGATGACTTTGGGTAGGTGGTCTGATGCTAAAGTCAGCATGGGTAGCCATGTTATGCTGTTTATCAGACCAGCGCTGACTATGGTGATGTCTGGCGAGCTGCTGCAGTTACCCATAATCCTGGTGGGTGCGTCGTCGTTCATTGTGCAGAATGTCGAATCGTCTATCTGCTCAGCCAAGTCTGTTCCCCTACGACAGCAGGTGACAGGGGATATGTATATGTTAAATATTTCGAGCTCAATGAATGCTATGCCACCACCATTATCTCGCTCGCGATCTCGACGGTGCACGTTGTACCCGGCACAATTCAACAAAGTTGAATTGCTGTGCAACTTCGTCTCTTGGACCGCAGCTATCAGTATACCATGCCGACACATGAAGGCGGTTATCTCCTCAATCTTGCTCTCCCGTTGCAGTTAAATTGAAGGAGCTTCATGTGGTTCGGGAGACGTGTCGTGATGTGGGGTGTAAGGGATGTGTGTGGCCTTGACGCCATTGGCTGTGTGCGCTGCTGTGATGGTTGCCGCCCTGTGGTGGTGGCGGGAGGCGTCGCAGTTGGGGTCTGCGACCGAGCAGCGCAACACGGGCCCTCGAAGTTCCTCGTCCAGTCTCGCGTGGTACGCAGACCTGAGCATGCCCTAAAGTGGCATCAGCCAAGGCAGGTGTTGCACTTGACTGATGTCACATTACGGAATATCCTGGTCTGACATACCGTGCAGATTGTAGGAGGAACCAGGAGTTGTTGGCGGAGACGTGTGGGTAGTGGTGCGGTTATGTGTGTTCTGTGGTCTGTCGTGGCTGTGGTATGGTCTGTGGTGTTATTATGTTGTTGTGCTGTAGTGACTGTGTGAGGCTGCTCAGGTGGACTGAGGTTAGCCGTGGAGACTGCTCTGTTTGAGCAGCAGGGGGCCACGTACGACGTGGTCCACTGCCGATGAGTCCGTAGTCCTGAGCAGAGTCTAAGGTGACTCCACCCCTCGCAGGCATTACACTTGACTGAGGTGGAGTTGTGGTGTAGTCGTCTCTGGCATACACAGCAGGTGTAGATTTTTGGCCCTGGGTTTGACTCGATGCCAGCCCTGAGTAGAAGAATACGTAGCGAATGTAGCCCTATGGACGAGCAACTTCTGAGATACTTCGCCGACCTAAACGGGGTTAGATCGCCGAAACAACAGCCCTTGGTCGGGTAAAACCCGAGTCATTCCGGTACGTAGAACCGGCTGTCGTGGGAATGTTAGAATCAGTTCAAAGGGGCGGGCTACGCCCCCTTCTTAATGTTTTTAATTTCATCTGCCACTATACTGCACATGTTCCTTAAATTTTATTGAGAGAATGTTTATCAACTTATTTTTAGATAAAAAATCCTAATAACGCAACATTTTTCACGAACCGAGCACTGTGCTACTTGAAGCTTAAACGGTGGCAATTGGCATGCCAGGATTGTCGTCGAGCTTTAGATATTGATTCAAATTTACTTAAGGCCCACTTCTTCTTGGGCCAGTGCTTAATCGGAATGGAATTATACGACGAAGCAATAAAACATTTACAAAGAGGTATGTATGTATGTACATATGTAAGTAATTTTTGGTACGGTTATTCTTTGCCCAATAGTTGTTGTAGCAGCTACTGAACCCCGCTCGGGTCGGCTCATCTATAAAAATTGTCGTCAGACTCAACTAGAAAGCCCAGGAAATGGGCAACTACCTTGGGGTCTGTCCATAGAGACAGGGACGTTGGGTGGATTGGGTTTTGGGAGTTGCGAAGAGATGTGGCGACTATATGCATGACGGGTACTCGTTACGCAGATCTGCGCTCACTTTCTCAGACTCTTTCTATTGTGGTGCGAGGCAAAGTTCTGTCACGTCCACCTCGGGTGGTAGTGTGCCCAAAACGGCATTCACAGGTCGGGAGTCTATGTAACTCGAGTCCGACTCCCTGTGAAATGCGTTTAAGGCTTAGGTATGCAGTTGGGTGCTGAGATGACGTGCCTTGGCGAGGGTTCTTCTGCAAGCGGTTGTCTGTTCTGGTGCCCGCGACTATGGCACCCTACTACGAACTGCTTGCAGAGCATTGTGTAATGCTCCTTCATGGGACCATATGGGCCTCGGCATGTAGGTGGTGTTGAGCCGACATCAATAGGCATCGAGCCGCGAGGATTTCGTAGGGAGAGGGTTAGGCGCTTTGCGGTGAAGATGCGAGAAAGTTATTTACCCAATTATTTCGGGTGACCCAATCCAACAAATTTTTACACACATTTGTAGTCAAGGGTATAAACTTCATTTTAGTAGTATGCTCACGTTGAGCCCTAAACTCAAGTTTAACGTTTTCTGTTTATGAACAGTGTTCTCATTGGGGTGTTTAAGAAACTCACGAGATTAATTTGTAACTTGTTTCTTTATTTTTTCTTTTATACATATGTAAATTGCTAATGAGTTCATACTTACAGTTGGATGAAATTAAAACTTCAATATAAATTATTTAAATTTAGCTATGCTTTTCTTCTTCTTATTTGGCGCTGTAACAGCCTAAGCGATTTTGGCCGAGTTTAACAAAGCACACCAGTTGTTTCTTTTATGTGACAACTGACGCCAGTTGAAAATGCCAAGTGAAGCCAAGTGAAGCCAAGTCCTTATCCACCTGGTATTTCAATCTCAGTGGGGGCCACCCTCTTCCTCTGTTACCACCAGCGGGTTCCGAGTTGACTACTTTTAGAGCTGGAGCGTCGGTGTCCATTCGAACGACATGGCCAAGCCAGTGCAGCCGCTGTATTTTGATTCGCTGCACTATGTCCATGTCGTTGTAAATCTCATACAGCTCGTCGTTCCATCGTCTGCAATACTCGACGTCGCCAACGCGTAAAGGCCCGTAAATCTTCCGCAAAATCTTTCTCTCGAAAGAGCCGCCTCATCGGATGTTGTCATTGTCCATGCTTCTGCGCCATATACCAGCACGGACATGACAGTGACTTATAGAATGTGGTTTTCGTACGTCGAGAGAGGACTTTACTCCTGAATTGCCTGCTCAGTCCCAAGTAGCAGATTCTGCGTAGGATTTCCTTGCTGACATTATTATCGGTGCTATTGCTGGTTCCCAAGTAAACGAAATTCTATACTATCTCTAAATTATAACTGTCAACAGTGACGTGGGTGCCAAGGAGAGAATGTGCTGATTGTTTGTTTGATGACAGGAGATACTTCGTCTTGTCCTCATTTACCACCAAACCCCTTCGTTTTGCTTCCTTATCCAACTTGGAAAAGGCAGAACAGACTTGCTGTTTTGTTACCGATGATTTCGATGTCATGGCATAAGCCAGCAATTGCACGCTCTTGTAGTAAATTGTTACTGAGCGGTTCAGTTCTGCAGCTCTTCTTATCTTCTCCAACATCAGATTAAAGAAGTCACATGAAAGGGAGTCGCCCTGTCTGAAACCCCGTTTGGAGGTGAACATGTCGGAGAGGTCTTTCCCAATCCTGCGGAGCTGGTGGTATTGCTCAACGCACACACACATCCGTATCAGTTTGGCGGGGATACCAAATTCAGACATAGCGGCGTAAAGACACCTTCTCTTCGTGCTGTCGAAAGCGGCTTTGAAATCGGCAAATAGATGGCGTGTGTCGATCCTTTTCTCGTGGGTCTTTTCCAAGATTTGGCGTATTGTGAATACCTGGTCTATGTTGGATTTTCCAGGCCTAAAGCCACACCGATAAGGCGCAAACAGTTCATTGACGGTGGGCTTCAGTCTTTCACACAATACGCTCGATACGACCTTGTAACCTATGCTTAGAAGGCTGATCTCGCGGTAGTTGGTGCGAATGGCGGGGTCACCTTTCTTGTAGATTAAGCAGAGCACACTTAAATTCCAGTCGTCGGACATATTCTGCATAAGAGTTGATGCATGCACCTTATCAACTCCTCGCCACCGTATTTGCATTGCTCAGCTGGCAGGCTGTCAGCTCCAGCAGCTTTGTTGTTTATCAGCCGCGTTATTGCTATCCGTACCTCGTCATAGTCAGGCGGAGGAACATCGACTCCGTCATCATCGACTGGTTCTTCTTCTCCACAACTTTCCGTGCTGCTACCATTCAGTAGGGTGGAAAAGTGTTCCCTCCATAATTTAAGTACGTTCTGAACACCGGTAACTAGGTCGCCATTGTTGTTCTTACCGGAGTACGCCCTCGGACCTATAACACAAGCGCTACAAGTCCTACAAGTTTTCAAATAAATTAAACAAGTGTAGATATTTTGTAACACAAAGCAACTTGTAGTTACAAGTGCCGTACTTGTAATTACTGAACTTTTTGTACAATTGTAGTCTATTTCCGTAACATAACGAACACACTTGTACAGTTGTGTTACGGATTTTCTACAATTGTAAACAATTTTCTACCTATCTCGAACGCTGAGTCGATATGTGGTGAAGTGATTCCGAAAGTAAAAATGAAAATGTTTCTACAGAGTATCGGTATCGAGAGAGAATGAATACTTTCTTCCTGAGAGACGCAGAATTTGTGGAAAGGTTCAGACTGAACCGAGAACAAGTGTAAAACTGTGCCTGAAGATATAGGCGCAGTAATCGTGAATAAAACAATTCGATGCTGCGGTTTCTTAGAATTTCCTTATTTATAATAGGGACACGAATTTCGATACGATATTATATCGATATTTTTTCCATTCGATACCGATACTTTTTAATCAATAGTTATCAAACGATATTATTTGGAGTTGAGTACCAGAACCATTGTATCGTATCGAATCGCAAAGACGCATTACAAAGTTAACGTGTCTGACGTCACGTTACAGGACATTACGCTACTAAAATCTCCATTGAAAATTTTTGTTAATATTGTTTCTAAATTAATTTTTAACGCAAATATAATAATTTTATTTTGATTTAAGCACACCCTAGCGGTTAAATTTATTGCAAATCTATGTCGTACTATAACTTACCGCAGGAACATCCCTTATATCTACAGTTTGGAATTGATATGTAAAGCAATATGGTTATATTTTTGGCTTTACAGAGCCCAATATTCAGATTTATTTTTTTGATCCCGATAATAATGGGTACCCGATATTTTTACAGCGATATATAATAATATTTTACTATATCGGTACCTTTGGTTCGATATCGAGTACCTACTTGTTAATCGATTAGTCGAAAGTTATTTCAAAAAATAGTCGACTTAACTTAATCGACTAACCGTTTCTTTTCGACTTTTTCAACTAACCGCTCACAAACACCTAGTCGAAAATCCGCTGATTTTCGATTTATCGACTAGCAGTTTTCTTTGAGTAAAACTTTTTTTTTTTTGTATACTTATGCTTATTGACAAACCCCAACCGCGCTAATACAAATAGTTTTATGGTGAAAAACTGTCACTATTCGAATAATTTCGGTTAGTCGATTTTCAGACTACTCGATACTGAGCGGTTAGACAAGAATGAACGGTTAGTCGAGTGCGAGCGGTTAATTGAGTAATTTCTATTCGACTATCAACCGGCAAAAATGTTGCTAATCGACTAGTGGACTAAGCGAGTATCCGGATAGTCGATTTTTAAAAAGAGCTCTAGCTTGTAAATAACTAAATCAAGGCTATTCGAAATTTGTATATTAAAGTGCAAATCGAAATGTATCTACAAATGCTTGTAGAAGGTTAGGTTAGGTTGATGTGGCAGTCGGCTCATATTTACCAACTCACTTAGACCTTTTGAAGGTCCATTGTGGTACCACTGCAGGACACGGGAACCTCGGTGACTATTCTTCAGAGAACCAATTTGAGGCTCTTATAAAGCGTAGAATCGGTTNGTTCAATTTACCAACTCACTTAGACCTTTTGAAGGTCCATTGTGGTACCACTGCAGAACACGGGAACCTCGGTGACTATTCTTCAGAGAACCAATTTGAGGCTCTTATAAAGCGTAGAATCGGTTTTATTCCTACGCGTGACCATCCCGTAATAGCTAAAGAAGGGCCTGCCTAAAAAGCTTGCTCTCCTCTTGGACAAAGCTGGGCAACTACAGAAGAAGTGCTCTACGGTTTCTTCCTCTTCCTCATCTCTGCAACTTCTGCAATATTCATGGGAGAAAATTCCAAGTCTTGAAGAGTGCCTGCCAAATAGCCAATGACCGGTTACACAAGCCGTGACCTTCGCAATGTCCTCTCTTGAGAGGCACAGCAACTCTTTCGTCTTTTTCTTTTCTATTTGCGGCCAAAGCAGCCTGGTTGTTCTACATGTGCCCTCCTCTAGCCATGACCTGTTGGCCTCTTGGATCATGCTATTTCGAAGTTCTAATTTGCAGGTTGCCATGGGTATCCCAATAGTGCCCCTGTTTTCACATAGGGGTAGATTCGTACCTTTCCTGGCTAGCTCATCAGCCCTGCAGTTTCCTTCAATATCTCTGTGTCCCGGAACCCATATGAGGCTGACCTTGAACATGGTGCTAATATCGTTTAGAGCTGCGAGGCATTCCTGCGCAACCTGCGACCTCAGCTTTACCATGTTCATTGATTTAATGGCCGCCTGGCTATCCGAGAAAATATTAATCGTAGTCT